CGTCTTGTGACTCCTTCTAGCTATCACCAAATCTGAGACCCTCGACACAACAATCCATCACCATTTTCCCCCCTTGAAAGAAAGAGAAAAGAAATGGAATTCACATGGGTAAAGTTTTAGATTTAGTTGCAGCTTTTATAAACCTTTTGGCAATGTATGGGAATGAATTCTTGGTAAAAAGGATGTTTCTATGTTCTTGGATTATTCTCTTTTTTGACAGTGCTTATATAGTGAGAAACACATAATGGACTTAATTAAGTCATGTGAAATTTAACCATCCTGCTTCAGTGGCTGAGGTAATTTCACACAATCTAAATATAAAAAATTCTTCAGTGTAGAAGATGTCTGCAGGAATATATAATAGTAATAATAGGACTGAAAATCATCATAATGGAATAAATAGGAAAAATGCTTTTCATTTAGCATTTCATGTATTAATAGTGCATTCAGAAGATAATATTTACTATTTATGCCTTGAAATTTACTAATTTTATAATTAGGAATTATAAAATTACTAATAGCCTGACAGCATTTATATATGGATTAATGATGTGTTTTTACACTTGTGTGCTCTCTATATGTCTGTTTATGTATGTCTGAGCATGCGAGTGAGAGAGTGTGTCCGTGAGGAATTGTTATGAGAGATCTATAGTATAATCCTTTGATTGATGTGGGAGAAATGTTTAATACAATCATATTTTTCTGATTGGTTATTTGAGGAAGATGGATTAAAATGCCAAAACAATGGCTGAATAGGATCCTTAGCAGAAAAATATAGAAAGGAATTCTATGATAAATTTTACCTGGAGAAGAATACAGACTGCCAGGAGCAAAGCAGTATACTGAGAATTTCCAGGCTGAGGGCAGTCGGAGGTGGTGCTGCTCATCCAACTCAAATTCAAACCTGGTTTCCTGTCAGTAGTGAGAACCACACCCTTTTCTGTTCATTTACAATCATACCGAATCAATGACAGTGTTTCCAAATATTATTTTAAGTGCATTGTGTGTAATAGGTTAATATGAAAATCTGCAATTTTTAAATGTGAGAACAAAAGAGTTTACATTCTGAAGCTCCAGGCTCGCCCATGTTAATCCTGTGCCTGTTGTTGTTGCTCTGTAATTACAGATGAATAAATAGCACTGAACTTATTTTGCTTCTGGGTTCAAATGAGTTGCCGTAGAAATACAGAGAATTTTGTATACTCTTGGGTCCTTTATAAATTCGAGCCTATCTAACTGGAACCTTATTTCTGTTTGTTATCTTTTAAACATCTATCTCTTGTTTATTTCCTCTTTCTTTACTGTGGTTATTTTAGATCTTCTCACTATTTAAATATACAATCCATCCCCTTGCTATCCTCCCTAATCAAAGAGAAACTTTACTGCCATTTTAGTAGAACTATCTTTTTGTTAGGCGTTGGGCATCAGATAAGTTCACTTTTTTGTGTTTTTGGTGAGGCAGAATCTCACTATGTTGCCCAGCTTGGTTTCTCCTGGCCTCAAGCAATCCTCCTGCCTTAGCCTCCCAAAGTGCTGAGATTACAGGCATTACCCAGTGCTGCACCTGGCCAAGTTCACTTTTTTGACATGCTAAATTTAAGATGCCTATAGGATATCTAAGTGTAGAAAGTCATTATGCAATTAGATATTTAAAAGTCTGGAGTTTGGGAGTTCAGTCTGGCTTCTGAACTTAGGAATCACTTACATCTCTGTCTACCTATGTACTTACTTATCTACCAAGGATAGGTGGGATGATGCTTAAAACCTAGTAGAGTTATCTGTATTTAAAAGCTGAGTGGTAGAAGAGACTCAGGAAAGAAAAGGAAGAAAATGGAGAACTAGTAAAATGTGTTATGAAAGTTAAGGAAGAAGAGAGACTTAAGAATGATCAAGAGATAATCACCAGTGTCATATGCCACAAGGAAACTAGGTGAGAAAAGATTTTTAAAGAGTCCTTTGTATTTGACTGTAGGTGATCTTTGGAGATCTTGGTGAGAGCCATTTTATTTATTGTATGATAGGGATGGAAACCAGATTGTAGGGGCATTAAGTGTAGACTACTCTTTCTAAGAGCTTGGCTTAAAAGCAAGAAGAGTAGACAGTACTGGTTAGATGATAATGTAGGATTGAGTAAAGTTTTTTGTTTGTTTTGTTTTTCATTTTTTAAAAAAATCATTACTTTTATTTTTTAAGATGGGAGAAGTAGAACAGAATGATCCAGAATGAAAAGAGAGGTTCAAGACATGGAATAAAGCACATGATTGATATAGTGAAGCCCTTGATGGATATGGAAGGAAATAGCAAAGATAGGCTAATTTGCCCAAGAGGAAAGGAGGAGAGCATCACCATTGATAAATTTCAGGATGGTATGAGTAGGACATTTTTGGGGTGTCCTGCATTAACTGCCTCAATTTTACTTCTAAAGGAAGAACTATATAACATGCTAAAACTGAAGGAAAAGATGGTAGGGTCAGAGATGAGACATTTTGGAATAGCCATTGTGTGAGCTGGGTAGAAAGAAGCATATGGAGAACTTTCTGGGTGCTAATGAGCTGGCTCTCCATGTGTGTTTACATCAACTGGTACTATGGTGTGATTTTCCTTAGAGGACTTAATAAGCTGACATAGGAATTAGGAATTTTTTTAGTTCACTTAGAGTTGGTGGTTTTGTTGTTAAAATTCCGGGGTTGAACAAACTGAGAAAGGAGTTTGAAATGTAAGCAAGAGAGTGGCTAAAGTGAAAAAATATGGTGATTGGGTTAGAAAGCCAGCAACAGGAAAGTCAAAGGAATGGTCATCTCCTTGACAATGAAGAACAGGTTTAGCAGAAGGAAAGGAGTGAAAGAACTGGTTAGATTGACAGTTAAAGCCAGAGGTGGGGGCTGCAGGGGCACCGGTGGTGAGGAACCTCTTGCTTCAAAGGAGGAACCGTGGGAATGGCTGAAGAGGCACCGCGTTAGGGTCATCTGAGAATAAGAAAGTTTAGCAAAGGGTTGAAAACATGGACTCTGGAATCAGATTATCTAGGGCCAAATCCCCATGTTCTGACGTATTAAGTATGAGATCTTGGATGAGTTATTAACTACAGCAAGTGTTGGTTACTTTCTACTAAAATAGGGATAATAATAGTGTCTTATTTTAGTTTTTTGTTGGGATCGAATAAGGTAATTCATATGAAGAATTTGTTTAATCCCTGGTGCAACTCAGGTACTCACTAAGTTTCCATAATAGTCATAGTTGTTTTATTATTATTGGTAGCTCCTCCTTTTCATTTAAATCTCAGCTTATACATCACCTCCAAAGAGAGACCCTCTCCAGCCACAATGTATTGAATATAGACCCCTTCAGGTAACTCTCCATCATGTTTTAGCAATTTAGCTCTTAAATACTCCCCCCTAATTAAATTGTTAGATTTTTGGTATTGAAGCCATGTCTTATTAATCTTTCTATAAACCATATGCCTGATGAATAGTAGGTATAACCATCCCCTCTCCAAGTATTTGCTGAAAAAAAAAAATCAGTTCCACCTCTCTTTTGATGTGGAATCATTTGATTATGCTTGTTAGTAAAGTTGATTTCTGGAGTATTGATAAAATTTTTAGAATAAGGGCAAAAGGTAAACCACAATTCTGAAGATTTTCTGATATCATTTTAGAATTTTCCACACAAACAAGTGCACGGCTCTCAATTTACTATTTTGTTTGGGTAGATGAAGTCTCTTCCAGGATGTATTGAATTTAGCAAATTGCACAAATGTAAGTAATCTTGTTGCTCGGAAAGCGAAGCTTGCTTTTGAGGCATGATTTAGAATTTTTGCCATAATGTCAAACCATGACTTTAATCATGAGAGAAATTATATTTAACTTTATTTGAGCCACAGATCATGGCTAATGGAATCTGGATCTGAAAATTCTGCTGTTGGGTCCAGAGGAACTTGGTAAATGTTTCTAGTCTGTTCATTAGTCAATGTCTTAGTACGGATGATACTCATTATTTATTCAACTCACAGTGTCATCTTAGCCCCTTGAGCCCATTCTTATTTTGACACATGACCTTTTTATGTTACTTTTGTTACCCCTAAGTATTTGAAAACTAAGGCTTTGGAGAAACAGTTTATGTGACATGTCTTAAGCACTTAATTTCTGAATTTGTCACTTTCTTACAAAGTTTAATGTTAATGATTATAATATTATTTGTATAAAATGTATAAAAGCAATATTCTCTATTTTTAACTTAAAATATTTACTTGATCTCAAAATATTTATTAATCATGATGATTTAGTGTAATTTCCAAAAATATTAATGGCCACTCTTGTTTTAGGGGATCTAAAGGTTTAAGTGTTTTTTTTCTTGATTAGAGAAATATTCCAAATAAAATTAAATTAAGTTTATTTAAAAATCTATACTATAGATATAATGATTCATGTCAGCTTGAGATAAATGCTTCAACTTATAGCATTATGTTGGTTTAGCTGGAAATAATCAGTCTATAAATACTGGGAACTTAATATAGTGTTCTTTATGTTTCTGTCATTTTATTGTTGCTGATTTTTATTTTATTGTAATAAAATTTTATGTGCTGCCAGAAAGTGAAATGTTACATATGATTGCTGCTAATAGATCTCTGATAATCTGACAAATTTTAAAATATTGATATTTCTTCAGCTGGACAAAACACTAGGTTTTTACTAAAATAGTGCACACTGTTTTTCTCAATCATGCCTTCGATTTTAGTGACAGTCAATTGGAAATATACATATTTTCCCTTTTTGGATAATAAAATAGTCTATAATGAGGTAATATTTCTATAAAAAATTATTCCCAACTAATGAGATTATAAAATACACAGAAAAGAACTCATATTTTCTAGATTGATGGCTAATGAAATTTAATGCCGATGATTCCATTTCAGTGGCATTAGACATTCTTGCTTGATGATATGTTATACGTCCAATTTTGACAAGAATATGTTCCTAATGTTTCACATGCTTTATTCCCAGAATTTAACACGTGAATTGGAGAAGAGGGAAAAACAACAACTGCAGATGTTGGATCAACTTAAGGAGATCCAGAATCACTTTGACACACATGAGGCCGAGCGTAAGCATGCTGACCTTCAGATCTCAGAGCTGACTCACCATGCCGAGGATGCAACCAAGCAGGCTGAGCAGTACCTCAGTGAGTTACAGCAGTCAGAGGCCCTGAGAGAGGAGGCGGAGAAGAGGAGAGAAGACCTGAAACAGAAAGCTCAAGAATCCATTAGGCAGTGGAAGCTTAAGCATAAGAAATTAGAGAGAGCGTTGGAAAAACAATCTGAAACTCTTGAACAATTGTCAGACAAGAATAATCAGGTATTAAAACCAAATTCTTAAGGAATGATTTTCACTGTAACCAATAGTTCATTTATCCATCCTTTGAACAAACATTTGAGTGCCATAGGTACATAAAATCTGTTGACATGTCCTTGATAGAAGAGTCTTTATGTCTTGGCTATTTCACGGTAAAAAAGTTAGTTTTTTATTTTTTAAAACCTTTTTTAATAGTTTAACATTCTGTGGCTTTTAAGAGTTGGTCCTTGAAATAGATCCACCCCTTGCCCCAGTTTAGCTTTAAGTTCCCTAAATTGAATTACTCTTTATTATTCTAATATTCAAATGGAAGAAAATTACTAAATCTTCCTTAACATCACATGATTTTCTTCCCAGTGCATGTGTTTTTAAATCATTTATTTGTATAGCTATACTTAAGTATTGATTAGAAAGAAGCATTTAAAAAATGCAGTAGTGAGTGGCGGGGGCACGGTGGCTCACGCCTGTAATCCTACCACTCTGGGAGGCCGAGGCGGGTGGATCGCTCAAGGTCAGGAGTTTGAGGTTGCTGTGAGCTAGGCTGACTCCACGGCACTCTAGCCCGGGCAACAGAGTGAGACTCTGTCTCAAAAAAAAAAAATGCAGTAGTTACGACTGGGCCATTGTCTGGCAGCAGGTATGATGGGCTTAGTTAAATGAATGACGCTGACTCTTACTAACTCAGCAGTGTTATCCTCTTCAAGACTTTGCTTTTATGCACTTTTGACAACAAAAAGCATTTCACTGATCTATGTATGCATTTCACATCATTTTTTTCTCTTGTATAATCAGTTACTTTAAATGGATTTTACACTCCTGTGTTGATTCTCAACTGATATGTCTTTGGGTTGAATTAAACCCAGATGTTTATAAGATAATAAGCAGGAAAGTCATGATTGATTTTTATCTATGTTTAGTCTTGGTTTATCATTTGTGCTTTGTCATTTGTCACTTGTCAAGAACTCTGAACATTCCAGAAGAATGATTATTTGGATAAGTTGATTTTCTTTCAAAAGAAAACAAAATGTAGGGCATTATATTTATAAAATCAATTTTTGGCATTTAAGAGTGACAGATGCTTATTTCAGATGAGCTGTCATGCAGAAGATACTTTATCTTTTACATATGAATTTCTTGGACATATAAGAAGATGAAGGAAGTGATCACTTTGCACTTACTGTGGATTGCTTTTCTTTTTAACCCATCTGACACATACTGGGTGGCTGGTTGCCCTGAGGTAAAGCAGTTCTAAAGCTTTCAGACTCGAATCTGAACTGATTTGATCCCTGGAAATTGCTCTACCTTGATTATTCTGTTGTCAGCCTGATGTGGCAACTGGTTCAATGAGCCTGGCTGTAAGGGAAGTAGCTAGAGAGAAGAGTGGTTGAGGGAATTGATTTATTGATAATCACCTGGGGGTTTTAATTAATTAGAGGAAATTTAGAAGGGTCCATGTCATCAGACAGTATCCTAATCCATGGTGCTGAGAGTTTTGTAGATCGAGTTTTTAGAATATTAAAAATCGTTAAACAATCATTTCTCAGAATATTGCTGATATAATTATTTTTATCACTTAGCATCACTAATGATAAGCAAAGAAGTAGTTTTAAAGTGATTGCCACAGTTAGGGTATTATCACAATTATCACAGCAGGCATTGTAATTTCTCCTTTAAAAGCCTTAAAAATTAATGCAGCATGTTGTAGTTAGAGCAATGGTTAATCAAGGAAAAAAGGGAAAGAAATGTTTTACTACATATTCAAGTGTCCGGTAAATCTGTGATGTGGAAATACATGGTAAATAATTTTGGAAAAAAAGTATATTTTTAAATATACTTTAAATATACTGTTGAATATTACCTCTAAGGGATAGTTAATTCTTAATAAAATCACAAAATTACCTTACGGCATTAGGAATACTGTCTACTCCCTGTTTGTTTTATAGGGTTAATTATTTTTAAAAAGTGACTCCAAGGTGTATTTGGAAGTATGTATTAAAATAAAAGTGATACTGGTTTACAAATATAACATATTGTAGTTTAAATACTAAATAATTTAATAAATAGCCTTGTTGAGTTATTTTATATGTTCAAATGATGCAGTCTTTGTTTTTGCAAAAGGTTTTGTGCCTACTTCCGTTTCTCTTTTTCTAGTGTAGTTTATTTTCTATTTTAAGATTTGCCACTTAAAAATATATTGAAAGTCAAAAGGCTTTTATTCTCTTAAAAATTGCTTTTCTCCCCTGCTTTACTCATTTCTGAAATCTCAGTAAGATTATCAGATACATATATTACAAAGCTACTTCATTACTGAAGGATATATAATATCAAACAAATAGCATATCATTGCAGAACAAAACAAAGATCAGATTGTATACTTTTATTAACAGGAAGCAAAGATCAGATTGTATACGTATCCTTAACAGATAATCACATGGATATTTACATCAGGGAATCATGATCTACTTTAGGGATGTGTAGATGAACACACACTGGGAGACCTAAAACCCTGTTGATAAAAATAATCTAGTTGTAAATTGTGATATTTTTTATTTCTCTTTTTCTTCTAAAGTGCTGTTTGAAATCACTGGTCTTTATATATGCTTTGAAAATGATAAAGGAAAAAATTTGAACTTGAACACTGATCATAGTATATGCTTTTCTGAATGTTTCCAAATTTTTTCATATTCTTTTTTAACATGGATAATGGGAATGCTTCCTAGGTTTTCATTATTTTCCCCCTTGATATATTGGCAGAATAATTGGCTTGCCCATGTATCGAGCTTTTTGCTTGATAGTATTTGACTTCAAGAATCTTAAATTGCTTCTGTGTATTTCACTCCTGCTGAGAAAAAAAGAGTGTTAAATGTAGTAGATGCTGTCTTATAAAATCTGAATTTTTTAATGGTTGAAAGTAAGAAGGGTAAGTGCTAAAGTGTACCACTTTTTAGGTGTGTATACAGTCCTATCATAT